CGACTTCGGCAAATTTTTTAGGGTGCCCCAGAATTTATGAAAACAGCTGTAATCCACCGACAGCTTAGTTCACTGCAAATTTATTTCGTTAAAAACAGACTTAATGTGAAAATCTTATGCAAAAAAAAAAACAAGATTAGTAAAAGGTAAAGCAAATTATTCTATGCAAAAATAAGAAAAAGCGAAACCTGACCTTAATTATGCAAAACAAACACGTAACGACTCGCTTTATAAAAAAATCAAATCAGGGTTAATAAGAATTGAAGCGAACTGTTTATGCGAAACAGGAAAAGTGAAACCTGATCTTAATTATGAAATATATCGGTGAATTGATTGTCAGTGAAGTTTGCTGAACCAGAATTAATCTGCTTGAAACTGACACATGCCTGAAGATGCAGCTTCAGGACGCCTGAAATTACACTTGATCAAATTAGGCCTAGATCTTGAATTTTTCATACATTAAATAATGATAATGGTAATTTAGGCAAACATAGCTTCATCGGGAAAATTAAATAAGTGCAAATCTGCAAAAATCTGCGAAAATAAAGATTTTTGCAAATTTTTTTATATTTTAAAATTTTGCACAGAACTGTATTTAATTTCTGTAGCTATATAGCTGGTTAGTCTGAAGTTTTACACAGAATTTCATTTAATTTATTATTTAATTTTTTTTGCAAATCTGCGCAGAACAGCACTAAAAAATTTTTCCCGATGTTAGGCGTTCAGATATTACATAAATATAGGATTAGTACGAACGTACGATGCTGGTAATCTAAAAACTTTAATCACTTTATATAGAACAAAACAATTGATGATAAGCCAAATGATATTCACAAGAAAAATTTGACTTTTACTTTACATTTTAAAAAATAATGTATTATTGATTTATGTATGTACCGTATTACTTATATTCTGTATATAGAGAAATTAAGATTTTAGATTTTTTTGTGGAACCTGTACAGAATACCAAAGTAACACAAAAAATAATTCTCAAAATGTCAACCTCAATAAGCCGCATAAAAATAATGTGTCGAATTTAATAGTTTATTTCATTGAACTTAATATATGTTGTTAGTTAAATTATATATACACATACTATATTTTCACGTAATAACGTCTAAAAAGGCATACCGTTTTCAGATAGTACAATTTTAGATGGGCATAAATACGGTATATACAAAAAAAAACCTAAATTATATATTATTAAAGTTGATATTTAACTTAATGTTTGTACGTTACATAGTTCTATAGAGATGGTGGTTATAATATTTTTTTCCAATGCAAGAAATCCAAAATTCGTAATCTCTATAAAAACTTTAATAAAATATTTATGTACACACTTATGCAAATAATACGGGAAAGGTCTCACCTTAATATTAAAAAAAAAAAAAAAGCAAATAATACAGGAAACATTTGCTTTCAATACGCTATTTATTTTATGCTTTGTGGTTTTTGGATTTTCATGCACCAGTGCAGAAAATCTAAAAATCTCAATCACAAATAAGGATCAACTAACGTATTGGGGATAAGCTAAATTCTTATTTTAAATTTCAGCAGTATGGCAAATAGTTGCCACATATTATTCTTGGCGTATTATTTCTAGATCCTTCATTTTATTGAGATTTATAAATTAAGAATTTTATTTTCAATGTGCTACCAGATGATGCATTATCTCTATGTAAAGAGATGAAGCTTTTAATTTCTTGTATTTAATTTATCTGACAAAAAAACACGGAATAATTGTGTTGATCAAATTAACAAATATGATTGGTCAATTTGCATATCAATATTTCTATCGGGTCCCTCTTAATAAATGATCGGCAAAAATTTTAGGGAGAAATACTTTATTGGCGCAGTAGATCGAGGTGATTTCCTTTTTAGATGTTTGTATTACTCCAGGAAATAAACGACTTGAGGTTCCTTACTCCGGCTTCTGAGGGAGGGGGGTTGTTTTTATATGTGTACAACATACATAACAGGTTTGTGTGACGGATTTTTTTTTTTTTGTGATGTTTTCTTTATTATTATATTTGTTTATAGTATTTTTGACTAACCGTTTACCGAAATCGGCGAGTCGGAACCGTGATGTTGTGTAACCTTGTGTAACCTACGATCGACTTAGTCGAAGAGGCGTTTAGATTTGGCGAGTAGGTGATTTTAAGGTCGTTGGTATAACTTCTACTTTATGCAAAACCTTGATAATGACACAGTAACGCTTATACTTCAATTTACAATACTTCCATCAAAACCACGGCTTGAGCCACTTGAGCTCAGAACCGGAACCATTCGACCACAGAATCCGCAGTCCGTCGGGAAACTGGAAAATTACCACAACTATCCTCTGTACGTCGGGAAAGTTGGACAGCAAGACCACAGAGGCTCTCAGTTCGTCGAGAAACAATTTACGATATCACGTGGGCAAGAGCGATCGTACTCTCATGCCACTTAAGCAGTAGATTCAGGGTTAATGTTTTATTTATCGGATATAATGGTATAGGGCTTTTAGGAAACGGATTTTGTGTGAATCACGAAGGATATCTTCCCTCAAGAGCGAGAAGCCTTTATTATATATTTTCTTTTTATTAGGACACGTTATACATTGTATTAGCGATATATTGCTTATATTGCCTATACTGATTTAAATGCTTATAGATATACCGTATACACAGTGTATACAGCTGAGTAACCCTATTTTTAGTAAAAGATCGACGTATTAGTGGAACCGTTTCTGAGCCACAGTTTTCACGTGCTTCCGGATTTACGATTCTGCGGTTCACAGTAGATAAGATAATGCAATCGTTGATTCCATTAATGTTTTACCGATATCTCTAATCTGTCTTTAAACAAATAAAGAATGCTGCAGGTAACACTGTAACTTAGCTAAAAACCAAATCAATTAATTCGCCGACCAGCTTATTAATAGCTTCAACATCTAGGATTAGAAGGATACACATGAAAAGTGCATGCTGAATAACTAAATTTCATACGGTATTAAATATTTAATAGCATTAATGTTTTTGTAAAATGAAAACGTCCCATATTATTTCCTTTAAATAAAGCTCATTTGTAAATTCTCAAGCTTTACTAATTGAATGTGAACCACCAGAAGAAAATGAATATTATTTCCGAAGTTAGTATATTCTATGGCAACCGGATATTTCTCAATATTCATTATTTGCATAATCGAGAAATGGTCAGTTTATAATCTTTATTGGTTTTATTGTTTTTTTATTACAGCTTATAACTTCACAAAATTTTTAAGAAAAACTATTGGAAGAATTTGCTAAACTCTATCAATTTACATAGGGACAATATGTTTTCCAAGGATTAATGAATAACATACTCAAGTCACAGTTTTCATAACCTATGTCACTAGTTAGAAATTCCACATAGAATGACATCATATAAAAATGCTATATAGATATTAACTTTGAATAATTTTAACTACATACTCTTAAAGACAATTTATGTCTATAGCACGAAAATTCTTAAGCATAAAGATTAGTGACCAACTTAAAAAAAAATACAACACTTATGGGAATGAAGCTCCTGAAAGTTGTGTTGGTGGATTTTCTACAACTTGCAATTTCGGGAATGGATTTGTACCGTTAATTAGGTCATCAATAAAAGTACTGGCGAATAAATTTGCATTGTTCTGGGATATGAGAGGCGGCATGCCAATGTTTGGAGTTCTTCGAAGTTGTCTATTTGCATTTTGTGATCCCCAATATTTTGAGGTCTTCGTAACTGTCCATTATTATTTTGTGGCTGAACGCCAATAATTTGAATCGTAGTTTGGTTCATCATTGCAAAAAAATTTTTTTAAAAAAATATTAGTAGAAAGGTGAAATGATAGAGTTTTTATACAGTACAAATTATTATTATTATTTTTTTTATGTTAATAAAGGTGATTCTGGCCCGGTTACACCATTAAGAAACATTAGTATACGCTCATTATATCCGATACGTTAAGTTAAAAACAGCAGTACTGAAAATTGCCAGACCTGCACTATCCCCAGGCGAACCACAAAATCTGCATTAATTCTTAACTCACTTCAATTCTCTGATTAAGAACGCATCAAAATATTGTAAATAAGAATAATATCATCTTAATAGGAAATTAAATAGTTTATCAGTTTGCACCGTCCACCTTATTCAGTTTTTTTTATAAAGATCAGATCAAGATAATATAAAAATTTTTGACGAAAATCCTTTCCGTTTTAGCCTAAAAGGAAATGTGGCGGATCACGAGTAAGGTCGCATCCAATAAATAAGATGTTTAACGTCTAATCTTAAACTTTATTGGAAACGATCTATGACATGCGAACAAAGAAAGATTGGATGGAGTTAATAAAGTCAGATCAAAGCTAAGATTTCCCCAATTGTTATTGTGAATATCATTTGGCCTATCATCAATGAGATTATTGGTTTTGTTCTATATAAAGTGATTAAAGTTTTTAGATTTCCCGCATCGTACTAGGCTTATATATAGATAGCTAGTAAAATCGTATAGTATTTGGCCATTGTTCTTCCGGAATTAATTTATTGAGTTTTTCCGATAGTCCTGAATTATGTGTTTAACAATATTTGTATTTATGTAATGTCTGAACGCCTAAGCTACGTATAATTTCTTAAATTACCATTATAACCTAATTTGGTCAAGTGTAATTTCGGGTATCCCGAAGCTGCATCTTCATGCATGTGTCAACTTCAAGCAAACAGATTAAAATTCTTCACACAATAACCAGAAAAGTACCGTATTTGCCCGTAATAACGCGCAGGGCGTTATTTTGAGACACGGCCCGAATTAAGCTTAATTCAGGGCCGAAATTCAAAACTACACCCCTGCGCGTTATTATGGTAAAGTAAATCCAAAACTATGCTGCATTGTTTAGGAGTTTCCTTTTTCAGTCACTATTAATCATCATCATATTGTTATAATTATTCTTTTTGCCGAGGAATCAATATTCTGTAGCATAAAAATTCTTTTTTAGAGAAAATTCTTATAATTTGTGTCGGAAATAGAACCTGATTTTATGTAGTTACAAAAAAAAATATTCGTATACTACGGATATTATTTATTTTTCTTATAAGATTAATAGAACGCGCCAATTTAGCCCTTATTAGTTACAGAGGTATCGTTTTTCCGATTAGATGTACCGTATATATTTCTACAGCAAGTGAATAAGATAGCAACTTCTTTGTTAATTAGATAAATATTTGTTTTATATGAAGCACTCAAAACACAACAACTGATGAGTATATGATGTATTTAATTTTAAAACAATTAAAAATTTGCACTGTATTGTTGTATGCACTTTGTCGGATACATGACCCACAAAGCACGGCAAAAACCCGGAAAATAGAAAAATATGATTATGTGACAAACTTGTATAATCATAACGCAGCATCGTACTGTTATTTTTTTTAACATATTCAAATTATTATTGCTCAATCAGATGACTTTATTTAAACAACTGAACAATTTTATTTAACAAAGCTGAAAACCATATGGGAATAGGGGTTCGCTACCTTTTATGGCTCTAATATACATAACCAAATTCACAACTACAAAGACATAGATA